TGCTGTGTAAAAAAATAAATTATGTGATTTGAAAATGAAAGTTATTTTTCGGTCGTTATTAGATATCTTAGGAGAATAAGTATAGATCATTTTTTTTTTAAATAATCGATGAAATCTTTTGATAATAGTATATTGCCGCCGCGACGGGCTGGTGAGCTTTCCGCGCGCGCCGCGGCCTGGTCGCGCCGACCGCCTGCCCCGTTCCGTTGTCCCAGCCGGGCGTCCCGTCACGTGCCGCCGCCTATGGGAACGCAAAATTACCGTATATTATTGAAAATTATTTGTAGAACGGACACACTGTGATAGCCGTTATTTACCTTAAAAAAATACTTATTTTAATTTTTGGAAAACAATTTTTTTTTTGAGAAAAAACGATCGTCTAAACGGATAACATCAAATTGAGTCCATCCTACTTTTAGTTATTTGAATTGAGTCCTGTTTATTATCTTAATATGTTTGATTTTATTACGTAGATAAGATCGTAAGCATAGTGTCCTTTGCTATTATTAGTAGGGAATTTGGACGGACTATATTGAATTGAGTCCCGAAAAATGGTGTTGGTAAAATAAAGCTGGTGGCGAAAAATTCAGAAGTTGGGTCTGTCTAAAGAACATAAGTCTAATTCGGAGAAAAGTAGATATCTCAAGTACTTTTTCGGGTTTCCATTTTCAAACGAAAATGACATAGTTGAATGTTTCACGGAAGATTTGATGGTGAACCATGTGATGTGATTTGAATTGACAGTTTCACAGATTACATTTTAGATAATTACATTGACAATGAAGTTGGACAGTTTCCCCTTAAAAATTTGGTGTGATTTGTCAGCAAACACTAATCGGACAACTAACAGTTGTGAAAGTTTTCATGCAAAATTAAATGCATTGTTTCACCCAGGACATCCGAATATTTTTATTCTTGTTGGCACTCTTCTGGGCATACAGTCAGATACCTACATAAAAATACGAAGCAATGCAACAAAACCATGTAAAAAAAACATTGGAAAAAGAACCATTTTTTACGGGAGCAGATTATCAAACATCAACAAAAAAAATTAGCAGATTTGACTATGTGAAATCGGTTTAATTTTAATTTTTACCAGCAACTATTAAATTTTGACACTATTTTAATTATTTTTAAAAATTATTAAAATTGAAAAACATTTTTTTGACCATTTATAAACAGTGTACACAAGCACACACATGTTTTGGGAGACTAATCAGTCAAACTCCATGTGTTGTCTCCTGGATAACGCTAATAGACAGAAGGCTCAACTCAAAAAACCAAAAAATATTTACTTTTGTCAATGTATTTTATTTTATATTTATTTTTTTAGTAACTTCAGGGTTGTAAGCCGTCAAGGATCCATGCTATAAGTTTTATGGGGTGTTTATTATCTCATGTTTTTTTTTTTTTATAGCGGTTTAATTTGATGAGAACAATTTTCATTTTTGAAATAGCGGGTTTTTAGGGGTTTTTGTCGATTTAAAAATTTATTTTCTCAAAAACTTGACGTGCTATGACAATATTTTAAACACACATTTGGATTGCTTGCGAAAAAAAAATCTATCGGACAATGTTGGTGATTCATCGTTTGCACAATACTCACCGAAATATAACAACAACGCCTAGTTGTTCACAAGTAATATTGTCCTTTATCTTTTCTATTGTAGGCGTTTTAAAATCACTTTGACAGGCAAGGTATAATACTACATCTATTAACCAACTTGTCTGAAAGGGGTTCATTTATCAATATGTTTTTGCCATTGAAAAGATCATCGACGAGATGATCTCGAATATGTAATTAACACTACAAATTGCGCCGTTCAAATGGAATAATTTAGGTGTTATATTTTGCATAGTTCAGAGTGTACCACTTAAGTCATTAAAAAAAAGGGTTAAATATAGTAACCGTGTTTATTTATACACATACCTGCACTACTTGATCGATTTGTAAATCAAAATATGATGCTATTACTTAGGCTAAGTGTAACTAGGCTAAAGTCTTTATTGAGATTGTCCGTCACTCTGAATCCAGGGATCACTGATACTCATCTTTGCTACCTATTTATTCGTGTAAATAAACAACAAAGACAATAATAGTAAAGTGTAGTATTTTTGTTTTATAAGGTAAGGCAGTAAAATTGAGCAATTTAAAAAAAATATACACACAAAAGTTTCATAGAAGTTTTTATACAGGGTGATCCAACTAACGTAAGACACTCATTTTCTCTGAAAATATAAATATTTTGAAAACAATTTTTTTCCTAAACTTTTAGGTACATATTTTACTACATTTTTCAATATTTTGAAAATTTTTATCACGAATCCTTATAAGCCAAAATGGGGGATTTTTGTTTTTTTTAATGGCAACATATGTTTTTAATTACATAAGTTAGTAGACAAAAAATTAAAAATTATGTTAGCGTTTGAGTTTTGAATTTTCATTTATTTGTTCATTTGTTATGACTTTATAAAGATTTGAGTTTTTGACTGTATTTCATATTATTTTCAATCGTTACTACAAAGACGAGTAGTTTTATTACATTGCGTACAAATAATTTGACATGTTACCGTACTCTGTACCATAATCAGATATAATAAATAACCTATAATCTAAGTAATCTGTAGATAAGAACCTTTGTCTATTTCAAAATATTTTATAGTGAATTCCTAGTTGTTAGAATGTTATCGCCAATTGGACAATGCGAACATAAATATGAATTTGATGTGCTACCGGTTTTGGACAAACCGAAGAAATATGATTATTATTAAGAGGAAATGTAGTATCTTAACATAGTCATAACTAATGAACAGTTTAATAAAAATAAAAAAAATTAACGCTAACACATTTTTAAATTTTTTGTCTACAAACTTATGTAATTAAAAACATATGTTGCCATTTAAAAAAACCAAAAATCCCCTTTTTTGGCTTATAAGGATTGGCGATAAAATGTTTTAAAATATTAAAAAATGTAGTAAAATATGTACCTAAGGGTTTAGGAAAAAAATTGTTTTCAAAATATTTATATTTTCAGGGAAAATGAGTGTCTTACGTTAGTTGGATCACCCTGTATTATGCTTATTTATATGTTGTATAGTAGTGCCATTTATACTTACAGTACAACTGGTTAGGTACTATTTAATTGTACTCGGTAATCGGTATATGGAATATCTCACATGATTGCATTAGTGATTTGCAAACAAATTAGTAGTAGGTATATTACTATAAAGTGTAGGTATGTAATATTAATTAACATGTTAAATGTTTTATCAAGTGTATAAATAATGTGTCAGTTTATTAAAACTTGTTGATAGTAATGAAAAAATGTATAGGGCCAATACCAAATGATGATTGTATTAAATCAAACGCGATTTTTATTTAAATGATTGCATTTTTTTATCGAGTGTAGTAAAATTTGCCTGGTTTGTGGTAGATTAAGTCAAAATAAGTATTAATAAGTAAACATTTGGAATATAATCGTAATTTGTTTTAGCTCTTATTATAAATTTTCAATTTTATAAATATTTTGTTTTTTAGGGGACTATAGTATCCCTAAAGGGAATTATCTAAGGGGTTAATTCGATCATCCTTTAACGTTTCGGACAACACACGTGACTTAGATGTGATGTTTTCGTCTTAAAACGATTTTAGCGCCACTGCATCTCAACGTATATTCTTTTTTCAATGGAGAATTGGAATATAATAGCCGTCGTTTAATTGTTATTAACCTTTCGGTCCATATTCTTTGTGGTTCTGCAAAGACAACAGATGAAGACTTTATTTATAAGACTTTAATAGTTGTTATTATTCACATAAGACCTGCCGTTTTTTGTATACTTTTAAGTATTTTTTTTCTTAATAAACAAAGTCTGATGGAAGTCGCGAGCACGGATTAATTTAGTTCTTCAGTTTATTTTAATTAAAAATTGTCTATGAAAAATACATTAGATTGTTTTTATATTAGGTATACCTAAATTGGTTCGTTCGTTGTAAAAGTGGTGTGGCTTCAAAAAAGAAAAAAAGTTTAATTTTATTGCATTAGTTTTGGTTTCATTTTCCAAGTCACTATAAATTTGTATAACCATTGATTTGTAATAAACATTAAAAGAGGTACAAGTATTTGATCAGTGTTTTCTATTTTTTTTTTTTTTTTGCTACACATTAATTTTCAAAAAGCTCTTTCTTTCAAAATTCAATTATAAAATGTCATTTAACCATAATAATAAATATTTAAAAATTAATATGGTCAAATGAGATGGATGATTACTATTTACTCCTTAATAATATGTCATGCTGGCAGCACAACTAGCACCATTAATAATCGTATATTATATACACATATTGTTAGTGTTGGCATTACTGGGAGGCGGTCTTTTTACGGGCAGCGTTTAGTCCGGCGGCGTTTTGTCGATTTTTTATCCGGCGACGTTTTGTCGATTTTTTGTCCGGCGACGTTTTGTCGGGCGACGTTTTGCGGTGGCGACGTTTTGCGGTGTAACCCCGACGAAGCATACAACAACAACAACAACAGATGTATAAATTGTTATCACAAACGCTCGACGGTTAGGACTTGGTCACGGTTATAGATAATTTAGTTATCTATAACCGGGGAATTGGTTGATGGTAACCGAATACTAACCAACAGCAGCTATGACCCTGATGGCTTTTCCCCTCACCCCGTCGGGTATCATGAGTCATGACAAGCGTGTACCTTGGGAAGGAGGGTGTTAGGAGGTAGGCGCGTAATTTGGAATAAATAGTCGAATAATAATACTTAATTATGAATACACCCAAATCCCAATTCCAAATAGGGCACAGAGGTCGAAATTCGAAAACACTGTCAATTATATTATAAACTTTGGGAAGGCAATTTTAGAAAAACATCTACTTAAATATATTTTATCAATGGTTTGTCCTGGAAGAAATGCGTTTCCGTCGTATTAGAATAATAAAAAAAAAAAAAGTGTTATTATAAATACATATATTATGACGGATTAGATACTATTATCAGCCATCGGCTATGTGCATTCTGCATTTTGCATTTTGCAAATTGCAATTACCTTGAAAAAAATATAAAAAATTGCGACATGATTTAAATAAATAAAGCGAAAACCGTTTTGCATAATAAAATTATATTATTGTATAGTGCGTTTATAACGTTTTGTTTGCATTTTGCTAGCTTCAAAACAATCGAATCAATGTCAGAACTGTAAAGCATAACGTGAGTATATTTATTTCGATAACAAACTAAACGGTTTGGAGTACAGTTAGTAGTTACAGTTGTGTTTGTATTAATAAACATGTAAAATTAAATTACTTATTTTTATTTCACATCTATTACTGAACTTGTTGATTTCAGTTTATTTTTACTAAACGACCATCAATACTGTGACTAATGAATTGTATAAATACATTACATTCTATGCTACCTACTTGAAACAACAGTGTATAACTAGATTTTTACTTTAACGCATTCATAATTTTTTACTGTATACATTTTCAAACATAAAGTTTTTTCTTGTCGTTAATCACAATTGACGTGCCAAACATTTATTCCATTTAATTTTCGACTTTCGTTAAATTTAATGTTCTTTGTTGCTAATGGTGTTTGCATGACAAAAATGATGTTATTCATTTTCCTGTTATAAACAACGATGACTTTGTATTTAATAATAATACATACTATTTGATAATGTTTGGTATGTGCTTATCTCTAAAATGATACAATATTTTCTTCATTTTTACGTATCTAATTAATGTTTGGAGAATTTTTCACGATTTAAAATGTATTTTTAAAAACACATTTGTTTATATTAGTTTTGAATTTAATGCCATATTATCGAGTTTTAAAATGAAACTGTATTTAATAAAATGTTCATTACGTTAATTAGCTATCAACGTGGAGGAAAGCAATGCACATTTGGTCAAGGTGGAGCGAACAGGCTCTTACCATCAAGACCAAGTCGATTCTGTGTTGTATAATAATTACAACAACTTTGAGGATTTGGAAAACGGAAATATCACTACAGTTCCTTTCATGGAAGATACATCTTCATTACCGAAAAATGCAATCTTCATACCTCTGTCGGGAACTACCCCGCCACAACATCCAGACGAACCCTTTGATGCTAATGCTTGTAAGTGTACTGCCTCAGAAAATTGATATTTAATATTCAATTACATTATTGTTGATCAAAATAATGTTAACAATATTATATTTGTCATAAATTGAAGTTTTATTTTAAAAATTTGGAATAAATTACATTGTAATTATCATGTTTCAAAAACTATTAAAAAAAAGTTTAGACGAAGAATTAGCTGTATTTTTCTGAATCAAATTGGTGTGTTATTTATTAAACATTATTATATATATTCATTTATATAGATAAAACACTCAAAAGAGGTATTTCGCGTGCCACCGATAATGTAAATATTGTATCTCAAGCAAGATCAGAACTAGTATTGGTGGATAGTGCCGAAGACGAGTTGCCTGTTGTGGAAACTCCAGTGTACACATTTATGTTACCAGATTTGGCGGCACTCGAAGGTAATTGCAAAACATTTTTTATGAATTTTACTAAGTATTTGTTTACAATTTGTGGTACAGTTTTGTTGCAACACATGTCGTCAATAATAGATTTTCATCTTATTATTTTTGCTTTTATAAAAATAGAAATCTTTTATCTATTATCTTCATGCAAAATTTAATTTCTTACTGTATGTGTCTAACAATGTTATCTTTTTTTTTTTTAATGTAGAGAAATTTCGATTGTTTATTGAAAAAGATTTAATAGCAGTAGCAATGCAAAATTCCTTGGAAAACGCCAATCGACTGAATTGGTGGTCTGGTTTTTGTCAAAAGCTCTGGCCACTTTCAACTTCTGGCGATGGTAACTGTCTACTACATGCTGCTTCATTGGGTACGTACTAAATAATCATGTATTATTCTGTTATCGATTACTTACCTTAAACTTGTGCACTACATTAATCATTATTTGTTTAATAATTATAGGTATGTGGGGATTTCATGATCGTTTGTTGTGTTTGAGACGGACTTTGCATACGTTTCTGAGCACGAGTCTGGTACGTGAAGCACTTTGGCGACGATGGCGGCGACAACAAACAATATTAAACTCTCAGTTCGGTCTCGTTTACACTGAACAGGAGTGGCGTAGAGAGTGGAATGCCATCGTCAGTATGGCTTCTACTGTGCCTCGGATGAGAAGGCACAGTATATCGAGGTATTAAAAAAGTTATTCAAAGTAAAACATATTTATTAATATATTTATATGTTCAGCACTGCTAATGGTGAAACTGAAGGAGATATTTATGAGAGTCTTGAAGAAATACACGTTCTAGCTCTGGCTCACATCTTAAGAAGGCCTATCATCGTCGTCGCGGATACAATTCTTAAGGTATGATTGCTAATGAAGGATTTTTTTATTATAAACATACGATTTGAGGATTTTATTCCGCTAAAACATAAAGTGAGTGTGTTGGTTCAAAATGAAATATGCCGACCAGTTTTATATTTAATTGCGGCTTGTACTCTGTTATACAAAACCAAATATGGATTTGTATTCTTTTTTTATAAAAATATATTGGCATAGAATATGTTTTTGAACAAGATTCGTTGACTTATCTATAAGAGTAAAAGATTTATCTGTTTGTTTAGTATTTTTTTTGTAAAATTTGTTTATTTGTACTAAAGTTCTAGTTTTAATTGTGTAACCCAATTGTTTAGGACATGAATGGTGAAGCATTAGCTCCGATACAGTTTGGAGGAGTTTATTTGCCATTCGAGTACTTTTCAAGCGACTGTCATCGTTCACCGTTGTTACTAGCATACGACGGTGGACATTTCTCTGCATTAGTGGCAATGGAAACACCCAACTCGGTACTTTCGTGTATGTGTTTATAACGTAATTAAATATTAATTATTTCTTACACGTGTTAATATTTAATAATTTGTGGAATTCATTATATAGCCGCCGTTCCTTTGGTCGATTCAAACGGCGATCTTTTGCCGATACAGTTTCCAATCGATCCAGGAACAACTGACCAAACACCAGACAAAAATCAAGATTTGTCGTTCACCGATTCTTTAACAATGCTAAACGAGTATTTAGATATTGTCAAACTCGACCCGCAAGTATGACATTGTTGTTGCAAATTTAAAACTTATAATTTAGTTCTTCACACTAATGTTTGTTATAGGGAAATAATGAATCGTCGGGTAAAAATGGACTTTTCGGAAGTTTGGGACGGTCTGTGGGTAATAAATTGAAATCAAAACTATCTCGAACAAACTCAATTAAAAATCTTACCGTAGCTCTACAGTCAAAGTACACTCTTTGCGCTCTGATTAATACTGACAAAAAACACGAATACCACGACGTCATGATTAAAAACTATTTACAAACCGCTGCAGAACGATTTCGTCTTTCTCCATATGTGAGTTTTTTATTTTTCCTGATATCAAGTATTATTATTGAATATTAGCACTCAATTATATTATCCATTAATGGGAACGGAAAGCGGTATTTATTAAGGAGTAAAAGATTATAGGCAATATTTGACAAAAATTGATCTAGTAGCCATTTTTAATATGCCGACTAATTTTAAGGAGAAAAAATATTAAGTTTTTCTATTTATAATACTTTTGAAGTTATTTTTCTCCGAGTTATGACGAAAGTTTGACAAAAAATAACTTCCGTAGAAGTCATTTACTGGCGTATCTATTGGACAGATTTCAATTTTTGTTTTTTATATAGTAAAGCTTACTATTTTTCCTTTAGGGACTCGAAAGTCCTATTTTTGATTTAGCAATTAGAAAATTAGTTCAATTTATTAGAAAAACTATAAAAAAGTAAAAATATAAGTGCTTACACAATTTTTTTGAAAATAAAAATAAAAAATTGGCCTTAAGCATCCATAGAAAAGATGTTAAACTATAAAACAAAAATAAATTTTGAAATCGGGGTTCGGTGGACACTTCAGAAAATGACTTCGCGTTTTAGCCTTTATTTGTAAAAAAATTGACGCTTTTCGTTCCTCTTAAACAGAATATTATTTTCATTCCAGACTGAGTACAATGTACTAAATCAGATTGAGTATAGTCTAGTTAAAAATAATTTTTTTTTTAAATATTCCAGGCGGATCAAACACCTCGTTACGGAGCTGGTAAATCACGTTTTTACACAGAAGTTGATTCAGAGTCGCATATAAAAGTCGGACAAATGACTCCAGTCAAAGCTACCACTAACGTAGATTCTACTTTGTATTTATCAAAGTCTACGTTTTACGATACTGTTCCCGAAGGCGAGCCTTGCCGTGTTGAGGAATGTCCATTTTTTGGATCGCCCGCTACTAAAAACCTGTGTTCAAAATGTTACCAACAACATCAACAACAGCAAAATGATTAATAACTAATATAATATACATACATTACACTATTGACAATTTCATCACATCTAAATATTAATTTTAAAAACGAGGTGATTCTTTCCTTGAATTTTTTTTTATAATTTTTGTTATTTTAACACATTTTCTTTGATTTTTGGGTATTTTTATAACCGAAACCTAACTATTTTTTATAATATATGAATTTATATTAAAAACTTAGATTACAGGTTTTGTTTAAAACACTTTAATGTTTCAATAATATTACGAGACTTGTAAAAATTAAATACATAATTCATTGGTAACAAAGTATCAAAAATAAATGTATAATAGTAAAAATATTTAAAAATTGCCAAAAACCATCCTTTACTTAATATAAATCTAAAAGCATACTAAAAATTAACTTAAACAGATGGTATAAAAATTTAATATCAAACATTTATTTTATATAAATAATACTTTAAAAAAGTAATAAAAAAAATTAAGTATCAGATATTAGAATCACCTTGTGTCACTATGGTTATCCAAATTCTGTTTCGCTGTTTAACTCTTGGTCTAAAATTTGGATAATCAATATAAATATTTATATTCGCTTGAGTAGCAGCTTTTAATATGTATTGTTATTTATTTAAAAAGTAAAGTATTAATCTTTAAGTATTTGCACAATGTGTGCCTCTCACATATAATTTACTATTAACACATTATTATTTTTTGTTTTATGTAAATACAATACTAACGTGAACAATTTAATAACGGTCATTTATTTTTATTATATACCATTGTTATAAAACGTTTTTATCAATAACATCTAATTTATATAAGTATTAACTAATTATAATACACCCTAGCGTATTTAACGAACTTAAGTTCAGCCATAGTACAGCCAATAATCTAATAAGCAGTTTTCCCTGCAAATTCCTATGTAAGTAGTATTGCTGAATTTTAATGTACATTATTTTGATGCACACATAGTTGTAAAATACAAACATCTTTATATTGAACACAAAATATTTGTGTTATGCATTGTGAATAATATAACGCTGAGTAAAACTAATTATAAGATTATATTACATCATCACGTTAACATCTTTTATTATTTTTTGTTGTTTAAATCGATAATATTTTATGTTTGTTATTACATGTTTTATTTTAAATATATATACCTAATGTACCTAAATTATCATTTTGTATTTTTTCAGTGGCAGTGATGACAACCATCATGAGCGATCATAATTTTGACAGTGGGTATAGACCCACTGTCTATTTTAGGTGAAAAAATTTTAAAAAGTATAAAACGTATATTTTAGTTAGCTTTGATACCTAGCTGAGATGATGTTTTTATTCATTCTTTAATTTTATTGTCTGGGACCCACAAAACATTATAAGCGGCTGCTGAACCCATTTCTTTATGTAGCAAGCCCATAAATCAGAAATCGTTGCACCTCAAAGATACTCAATCGAGTCAAAAATGTAAAAAACACCCTATTCTTATTTGAAATCGAGAAAACACCCAAAAGACTTTCATATTTTATAACTTGAATGTGATTTTGTAGTAGCTTTGCATCTACTTGTTACCTTCATATTAGCGTATTGGCTTCTGCATACTATGCAATTGCTATGTATACCATGAACTACCTTGGATATATTTTATAGTAAATTCATTACTTTCTGATTAATTTAAAAAAACTTCCACCCCCTGTGGGAGGGGTTTGCTTGGTAAAATTCAGGTTTGAAAGTATTATTGTACAAGGACATGTCGAATAAATATTCCATTTAAATGTTAACTCGATCTGGTCATTTTTCGAAAAGTTATTTCAAGTCAAAGTAAAACTATCTACTTTTTTCCCACCGATTCTAAGGGTGAACGAGTCGACTTTTTTAAATTTTGAATCCCCAAAGTACCAATCGCATACATTTTCGAAAAATACATTATAATTTATCCAAAATCTGTGTTTGTTTATCAATTTAATAAAATTTATATCAAAATAATTATTTCTTTTATCATACAGCTGGTATTTTTTTCATATGAATAATAAATCAAGCTGAAATTAAATGATAGATTAATTTATACGATTTTTTTCTCCATAGGTATGTATAATTCTGTTTTGAGCGGAAAAGAGTCAATTTTCAAACTTTTAGCAGTGAGAGATTTCTATTAACTGCATGTGTGTTTAAAATAAACATAATCTTCTCAATTTAAGTACCGCATTTGCCGTCTTAAGAAAACCCCCCCTCCTTAGTACGGCCATGCTTAGTGTTTTCCCTCCGATAGTATAAAAAATGTTTAATTCGATTTTTCGGTCAAATCTAATTTAATTAAGTAAGTTGTATAATTGTGTAAATACCGGTTTTTTATGTTTAAGCTTCGTCGCGGAGCTGAAAAGTTATTGTTTTTACAATGATATCTTTTAAACCACACTGAACCGATTTCCTCATGTGGTAACTCTATAGATCAGAAATTGTACGTGAAAGCACAACAATTAAAAAAGCACCTCTTTCTCTTCAAAATCGAAAAATAGACAAATTAGTTGTAAATTTGTACCAATAGAATGTTCATTGCGCATAATAATGTCAATATAGGTTGACAAGTAAAATAAACATCAATAACCCTTTCCTCTCAGTAAGAGTAGACACTTTTCTACGGATCTTTTGATATGTTCCGTCTCCAATATTATGCCCCAACACCACTACACTGGTTTTTTTTTTTTTTAAATACTTAAATAAATATTTGTCCAAACGTTTCTTTTCGTCTTGGTCGGCGGCACACTCTTTTTGATATTCAGGCGAGCCATCCAGCCTTGCATCCAATTTTCGGTTGCTACGCGGTGTCACTTGAAAAAAAAATATTATAAAACATATACTTACAATACCTAAACTTGATTATTGTACCCCGGGAACCACGTGCAGAGAGTGGTCAACACCAAAGGAAAAATGCGTAGGTACGGAATATATTTACATTGTATTCGTATGGGGGGTATTAGTGTATTATTGCAGACGACAAGTATATACTTAGAAGTTTTACAATAGACGCGACTTATGGTTCGATCACCATGCACTTACATGACTTGCCTCGTTAAGTACAACGTTATATTGTATTATATTTTGTCCCGTTCGAAACACCACGGTCCGCGTCCACGGTCGAATTAACACTGTTGTAACGTCTTGTAATAGGATTGCCGTGGGGAAAATGTTGGCGTTTTCTCGGGTTTATCCGTGCAACCCCTCCAGGGGGGGAGGGTCGCGTCTCCCGGGAGGCGCCGGGTTACCGCCTTTTGGGCGGAGCTCGACGCGGGGTTGGTTTTCCCGGGACGCCGCCGCATCCTCCCGGTTATCGATTTTCCGGGATCGGGCTGGAAAATGCCACCGCCAACATGGTGGCATTTGCCTGTTCCCGTTCCCTCTCTCCCAAAGGGGCACGTGCACTCTTCCCCGGTCGTCGGTAGGCGGGAAATTTCAGCTACCATTTCGTCGGTCGTCCCTGTCGGGCCGGCTACTCTTTTGCAGGCGACCCGAAGTGACTGTTTTGGATTTCCAAGTTGGAAAATCTTAGTCCAAAGTTGCTCTTATAGGGAAAACCGCCGCGGAACCCGGACGACTTTCATGCTTAAGGTGCCCATCAAACCTCCTCCTGTAAGTATATGTTGTACACTGTAACTATAACTATAGGTAGTTTTTAACTACAAGTAGTAAGTGACTACTTTAACTATAAAAAAAATACTTGTAGCGAAACTTGTAGTGTTTAAGTTAATAAATTACCGTTTCTCTGAGTGGAGGAAACCTTTTCGGCCATTTTAATTTGAAACCTATACTAAAATAATTTGAGTCAAATGTTGTAAAAATATATATACTATATTATAACTTATAATTCCTAGTCTAAGTCTATGTTCTAATTTTTATTTAATCTAGTTTTAAGTTCTTGTGTTAGTCTGCTCTGATTCAAACTAAATTATAGAAATAAGTTATATAATAAATTTAATTTATTAGAATTGTATAATAAACAATGTCTAATGAAATAAAAATAATAACTTAACCATACAGGAAGGAGCATTGCCCAATTAAGCTTACTATGGTATGGCCGATAAGGTAATATAGCTTATAAGGATATAGCTTTTTATATTTTTTTACCATTTAGTGCATTTATCATTTTCAAATCATAAATACATTTTTAATTATTTTGCGAGTATAATGGGTGTACAAATTAGAGAACTTAGAAATTAATCTCTAATTAATCACATTGATGTTGGCCAAATACTATTTGGATTATAGGAAACTACTTGCATGTAAATTAGAAATAGTTAATTTATTCGACGGTGTTTGTAAGAAAGGGTAAATAAAAATATAAAAATTTCTTACAGGAATCAAGAAAAATCTACAAAAACGACAATTATTGTGCTAATATCTGTGGCCATTCATTTAACTTAATTGTAACCAAATAGACAAAAAATTTAATCTTTTTTTCAAAAATCAGAGTAAAATCTGTCTTAGTTGAAACATCTGAGATGCAAAAGTAGTAGAATAGGGTGACTTAGGGAAACAAATTTAATAGTGTTTATGAAAAATAAAGTCTTGTTCTTCTCTCCATCGTTCTCTGGCTCCTGCATTTCCTACCTGTATCGTGTACCTAAGGTTCGTAAATCCTTTAGTACTGTATCTAGCCATCTATTTGTCTTGGTCTTGCACGAGGTCTTTTCATATTTAATTTCTTGTATAATATTTCCTTTATTTCACTTCCTTCTGCTCTCCAAACATGCCCAAGCCACTGTATTCGTTTAATTTTCATAAAGACAACGACATTTAATTAGATTAAATAGATTCCTTAAATTTTCGTTATGTATAATATCGTATTGTTGTGTGGAAGTATTGTAGTATGGGCCATATATTCTTCTCAACACTTTTCTTTCAAACGTTATAAATTTATTTTCATCCCTTTTGATCGTAGCCCATACCTCGCACCCCCATAGGTTAAGATGGGTCTTATATATTATGCTATGTACAATCTTACTTTCGACTCTCTAGAGAGTATTTTCGACTTTAATATTCTTACTATTGAAAAATAAGCCGGAATGGCGTTATTGATTATTTGTTGTACCTCTTGGTGCATGTCATTTTTACTGTTAATTAGTGTTCCAAGATATTTGAAGCTATTCACGCGTTCAAATGTGAATTGACCAATTTTAATGTTATTATTGTTATTACTATTATTATTAATAATACCGCCTAGAATATTTTCCTCTTTAGAAACTTTCATGTATTTAGTTTTTTCCTCACTGACAATTATTCTGTAATATATTATGTAAATAAAGTTGAATTTCTGTTATTGCATGATATGTGTCATGTGTGCCAAGGGAGGGACACGGGGGACAATTCCCCCTTGACTCTTCTGCAAGTTAAAATAAATTATATTCAATTTCCCAAATTCCCAAAATTTATTACACAATCATAGGGCCTCCTCTTGAATTTTCACTCGTGGGCGCCCTTGTGTGTGCCTATTTTCATATTTAATAAACAATATAAACGCAAATTAAAATACTTAAATACTTAAATAATTAAATACTTACTTGGTACTATATATGTATGTTGATCAATTTTTGAAATATAATAATTTCGCACATTTGCTCTATTTACTTTTAATTTCCCCGATTGGTCCTAGTTATTACTATACATGTATTATTCCTATAATTAAAATAAAATACGATTTGGTTCTTCCGCCCCTGTTTTTTAATCCTATGGCAATTTTAACCTATTACCAAAAATCGTATACAATTTTCATATAGCATACTAAGGGAAAAGAACGCGAATGCCGTTTAATTTTCAGTAAAATTATATTTAAATATAATTGAAAGGGTCAGTGGATAAAGGTGTTAACTAACATTTTTTCGAAAATGCATTTTATTGCATGAATAAAAGGGTTATAGTGTTATAGTATAGTATAGAGGATCTCTAGACCGATATTTTTCCTCTAATAGTTATTTCATCTATTGAATATACAAAAGTTCCATAGCTTTCGTGTAAAATTTAGTTACAAAAGTGGCGTTCCTGAACAATTTCAAAAATGTCAGCTAACACCTTTATCCACTGACCCCTTTAATTTATGGTACACGTTGTATTTGGATGTGAGAGGGGGTGGTGGGAGGGTATTTTTAATGTTGTTTTTAAATCCTGAAAGGTACTAGCAGGGAGATTTCCACCAAGTATGTTAATCGTAAAATCTCTAATAATTGTAGTACATAGAAGTGAGTTGACAGGCTGAATTTCACAGCTACTTTTAGGAAAGCAGTTCTGAAATTTTCATTATAAGGAGCTGTTATTCAGCACAAATTTTAAAGATTTACTTTTTAAATAGGTATAGTCGAAATAGGCGTCGACCGTTCATTTAAAAAAAAACATTTTCACGGTACTTTTGGAATACTTCGTTTTGTATACTTTTGCGCCTTTAAGTAAAAGAGACGGTAATCAGATGCCCCCTCCCAAAAAAAGCGTTTTAAATCAAAGGTTAGGTGGAGTGTGGTATTAAAAATATTTTTAATTCTCCAATTTCAAAACTAGGGAGGGGTTCCGAGCACACAAAAAACGGCAACTAATTTCGCCTTATGATAATCATGCGGGGTATAATAATAGTGTATCGTCTCTAGTGTCTATATTATTATAGTTCACACCGGTTTGGTGGTTATTTATGTATGTTTTTAAATCACCAAGATCGTGTGTTTATACAACAATAATGATCGTGTCGGCGACAAACAACGCAGCACGTCATTGAAGAGGCTGACAACGCTAGCGCCGGCACGTGTTTAAGTTTCCGCAAAATATACACTCCTGGCCGAGTGAACATCACGATTGAACACGTATACTTTAAATAGGTATACTTGGATATACGTTATTTTCGATAATAATGTTTTAAGAACGACATCGGACCTTAGAAACAAACACGGGCGGTTGGAAATTTATTATACCGTCCACGCACAACGCAGGTTTTTGAGTTTACAATGATGTGTTTTGTGCCTAGACCCACGACGATATCTTCTAAGCCGCTACTAAACCGACTTCCTCGTGTATAGCAACTCTGTAGATCAAAAATCGAACCCGAAAATTATTACATTAGGCGAAACATTGAAAAAATTCTACCTTCCCCTTCAAAATCGAGAAACTGTCGGACAAGTTCAAAATGTACTAACGATTAACACGTTGACAAACAAAACAGAAATTTTAAGAGGGCATAGCACCGGTGATTTTCAGCGGTAAAAATATGTTTAAGCAGACTGAAAATAACTCGCTTAATTTTGGTTTTAGAGTAAAAGCACCCATTATAAAATTAAAAGAAAACAATATTCCGGAGAGCAAGACAGTGCGTTTTTTTAAAAAAAAAATAATTTTTTAAAGAGTGACAGTCATTTAAAAATGTTTAAATAGTCGTTATTTCTAAACTATGTATTGACCGTTATACTTAAAGTAATGAAAAAAACGCACCGTCTTGCCCTCCGGAATATTGTTCTCTTTTAATTTTATAATGGGTGCTTTTACTCTAAAACCAAAATTAAGGAAGTTATTTTCAGTCTGCTTAAACATGTAGAGATGAAAAAACATTTTTAAATCGCTTTCAAGTATGCTCAGATAGTCCAAAAAATAAATCAACTACCGAAATAAAGTCCTAGTTATTGAACTAATAATTACACATCACAGTTTAACCTTTAAATTAAGATTTTGTAAAAAATTTCCTACAGTTTACGCCTTAAAAATGGGCGGTGCGACGCCCTATTAAGCCATATTTTTCTTATTCCAGTTTTAGGACTCAATGTCTGATAATGTTTTACAATAAAAGTATTAAAACATTATTTTATTTGGCAATTTCTCCAGGCCGTTATTTTGCATATAGGTCCTCTGTCTAGAGAACGCCTCGATTATTACATATATATTTTTTTTTCTATATTTTCCCCTCGTGCAAATACGTTTTCCAATACGTGTAAACGAGCGCCCAGATTGGCGGTCGACCGTATTGTGTTTATATTATTGCGGTTTTTTTAATCACTTAGAGTAAATTTTGAAATTCCGTCGAGGGCACAATATTTATAATTGTTCCCCGGTCGGTGTATTTCTTTTTTTTTTTAAACAAATAACAGGCGATTTTTTTTCATTTTTGCGAAGGACAATGCGCTCGGTGCACCTTTTCAATGTGCGCAAACATTGTCGTTGTCGCGGTGGAGTTACACGACAATGGAGACCGAGAAGACCTAACCGAGTGCGATATGTGCGCCCAGGACAAGTGGGCTCTGGGGATACGGTACACACCACATAATAATATTATGATCCTCCCTCTCTATATGTATGTTCAGTGTGTATAGACACACATTAAAATATAAATACGAATGGTTTGTGGTGTCGACCGAACTCCTCTCAATCTAGTATTTAATCGGATCGAGAATATTATCCATATTACTATTTCCGTCTTCGTGCGTGACACGACCAGAGCGCGATGATGATTATTATTGCCTTTGGGAGGGTGTTGAAATTTTTTTTTTTCAATTTCGGCCGGACCGCTCTTTTCCTCTTATATATATATATATACGATTATTATTGTGGCGTGTGCAAGGCGCAATTGCCCTTCCGAATGAACATATTATTATTATTATTGGGGC